GTTTTGAGCTTACCTTGTGTCTGACTTAGTTTGCTTGGGGACAAGCAAAAGGTTAAGTGTGGGGGAATTTGATAATGATGTAATTGCACATATTTGCGCCCCTAGTTCTTATCCGTTTGAGTGGCATAGTCGTGTATTTTCGGCCTATTTTATGCCGGGTTGTGCTATTTTGTCATATTTCAGGTTCCAGGCGTCAAAGGAAAGGCGAAGCACGAGTTTCGAGGCATTCAGAAGTCATTTCGTCGAGCTGGAGCCAAAACACGGGCACACCTAAAACAAAACACGGCCGTGTTCTGTGGCCGTGCTTTTACTGCCGAGAGCTAATTCGAGTTTGGCAAACATTGGCTAAAAACACGGGCAGGGCTTAGACAAAGCACGGCTGTGTCCATCATCAAACACGCCCGTGTTTCTCCCAACACAGTGGTCGTGTAATTAACCCTAGCCAAAGCACGTGCGGGCTGAGGCATTACACGGCCGTGCCCTTGACCGTGCTTTGGCCACTAATGCCCTTTTAAGCAGATTTCAGCCAAAACAGAAGGGGATTCGAGTTTTAGAGAGACAGAGCGATTCCTAGAGAGAGAAAGTGACGAACAAGAGTCTCCAAGTGCCCTAGCTTGATCTTCATCACCATTGGAGGCCAGTTTGAGCTTGGAGAAGTGCCGATCAACGTCCAGGAGCAGGAATCCATCCTTCACAGTATGAATTCCGCGTCTGATTCTGCTTTTGCTTCTTTCTCCATGGAGTAGTTCTCCCATTCATCTGGGTATGGAGAACCCTAGATTTGTATGTTAGGCTTTGATTGTATGAACCCAAGTACTGATTCTATGATTTGATTATATTCGATTGAGGTTTGAATGATTGAATGACTTGAATCCTGATCAAATTCCTGTTGTTTCTGCTTTAACCTAGAATGAGAATATCTGCCTAGGTTGATAGAGCATCCTTAATTGAAGGTAGGGAGTTGGTGACTTTAGTCGAGGAGCCAACTCACTATTCTGTACCGGATTTACTCCGGTAGTGGAGGTTTTGTTTGTTAAGGCCTCAATCTGTTTACTCCGGTGGAGGTTAGTCGCCCGCTAGAGACTCAGATTGAGAGGGTCTGAAGACCTTTAGTCGAGACTTCAGGCTGTTTAAGAACCTTCCGCAGTATAACTATCATAGAAACTGAACTTGGTAATTACAATCCGGCTTAACTGCAGTCTAGGGGGAACCATATCCGGGTGACCTCTCTTAACCTGAATACAACAATTTACTTGCTTTGTTAGTTTGTTAGTTTAGACTTGCATTAAATTTTCATTGCTAGATAACAAGAATTCACCGAGTAGTCATCAAATCTAGGACCCGGGTTGACATTTAAACCTAAACCCGCTATACTACACTTTAGGAAGTGGTTTCACTTGGCCAATTCCTGGAGTGACAGTAGAAGTGAGTTAGGGAGGCATTCCCCTAATAACGTGTTTAGTAAGGAGTTTTCCTGGGGCAAAGACCTTAGGAAGTAACGACGAGACTGACCCCTTCTCACTCACCAGGTTGAGGATAGTCTAGCAGAAGTGGATCACGAGAAGAAGCAGGGGGAGGCAAGCAGCAGTACCAGCTTCGACGGGATATCGGAAAGCTCGTGAGGAGTCAAGTTAGATTAGTTAGTTATTCTGTTTCATGGTTATTAGTATAAACTGGAGATTCTGTGTTAAGTCGTTTTAAGAGTTTGAGATTGAGAATTTCGCCCAAGTGTTGGGGCTTTTCGTTAAAAATTCTTAAATAATGTCAGTTTGTTTATTATAAATGTGGTTTGGGTTGCTCTGGAGTAACCGGTTTTTGGTTTGAGTTGTGGTTTGGTTTTCAAAAAGATGGGGTCGTGTCACAAATTCTCCCGCAGATAATCTCGGAAGGGCAAAATGCTTTTATCAAAGAGAGACAAATAGTGGATAATGTGATGCTAGGCCATGAGCTTATAATTTATCTGAAAATCAAAAATCGAGGGAAGAAAGGATATATGGCTCTGAAGGTTGACTTGGAAAAGGCCTATGACAGAGTCGAATTGTCCTTTCTTTTTGCGGTTTTGGCCAAGTTAGGTTTCAATCAGACTTGGATTGGATGGATACAGGAATGCCTCAGTTCATCCTCATTCTCAATTATTATAGATGGTACGCCGAATGGGTTTTTCAAACCCAGTCGAGGGCTTCGTCTAGGTGACCCACTTTCCCCTCTCCTGTTTGTGCTTTGGACAGAAGGGTTTGCGACTCTAATCAGCAAGGCTATTTCAGAGGGTAAATTGGAGGGGGTAAAGGTGGCTCCTCGGGCACCTAGGATTTCTCATTTGTTTTTTGCTGATGACTCATACCTGTTTCTTCGCGCCTCCTTGGAACAGTGTGAGAATCTGATTGAGGTTTTGAATGAATATGAGGAGCTCAGCGGGCAACGAATTAACTTGGAGAAATCAGCGGTTTGTTTCAGTAAGAATGTTGTGCTCCCTGACAAGGATTTCCTGAGCCAAATTTCAGGGGTGGGCGCGGTGGGGGTGCAGGTCAAATATCTGGGACTGCCTACCCTTATAGCTTAGTAAAAAATGGATACTTCCGGTTTGTGGAAGAACGATTGATGGCACGCCTCCAAGGGTGGGCCCAACGGACATTGTCCTTTGCGGCTAAGGAAACCTTAATTAAATCAATAGCCTCAGATTTACCATTCCATGTAATATCCTGCTTTAAACTTCCACTCACGCTCTGCCGCATTCTGGATAGACTGGTGGCACGATTTTGGTAGGGAGTGGAGGAGGGGGCATTCACGTATTCGATGGATGTCCTAACGTAAGATGTGTTGTAGTAAGCATGAGGGAGGCATGAGATTCCGCCGGTTTGAACATTTCAATGAAGCTTTACTAGCCAAGATTGGATGGTGAATTCTGAATGAGCCACAATCCCTCCTTGCTCAGGCGTACAAGGGGAAATATTTTCCAAATGACACCTTTCTCACGACTACTGCACGATCCCGTCCTTCCTGGGGGTGGCAAGGCATTCTATATGGGCGTCAACTTTTTAAGCGGGGCCTCCGCTGGCAGATTGGAAACGGTAGGGCGGTTTCTGCGTTAAGTGACAATTGGATCCCGGCCTTGCATCTTGATCCTCCACGGTATAACCCTTGGGTTTTTCCCTATGGGGGTGACCTCAAGGTGGCAGATTTGATTAACCCAGTTGAGGGTCGTTGGTCTAACGCTACACTCACCCAGTGGTTTAACCCAACCACCTATCATGTAATTGAAGCTATCCCTCTACCCCATCATGATATGGAGGATAAGCAGATCTGGCAAGCCACGAGTTATGGGATTTTTACATTGAAATCGGCCTACCACCTGGCAGTTTTGATAGATAAACAACATGGTCGTTGGATCCGGACAGTTAGCTGGATGGACCGAAAAAGTTGGATCCGAGTGTGGGGGTTCACGATTCCACCAAAGTTAAAAGATTTTCTTATGGCAAATCTTGAATTGTGCCCTACCGATGATGGAAGGCCTTATTGAGAAAGATGTTCCGGTGCACCCAAGATGTCTAGTTTGTTGGGAAGGGTCGGAGACTATGGAGCATTTCCTAGATTGCCTTGTGGCGCGAGCTTTGTGGGATGATGCTGGTTTAGAGCATCTTGGTCAGGGTCTCCCTCGTCATACTTTTCCTTTCTTCCTCAAACAATTCTTGGCCATCATTCAGAACCCGCAACAATTCATGGAAGCTGTAGCTGTACTATGGCGGATCTGGAAATCTCGCAAGTGGGTTGTCTTTGAAGGCAAACAGTTTGGGATTGCTGCTCTATTGAGGAAATAACATCAACAATTGTATGAGTGGATGAATCTGCCTAGGGATAGGGTGGGGGCACCCCTGTGATTGAGATGGGTAATGTGCCGCCTGAGAATGCATGTTCTGTAGTTTGTAGATGGCATGGGGCGATGAGACGTGGATCCCACTCGACAAGGGGGATGGTGTTTCTGGACCAGAGTAGGGAAGCAGTCTTTGCAACAGGCTTTCAGTTCTCGGGAATAGATGACCCCATTACTGTGGATCTTTTGCCCCTCCGGGAAGCAATCTTATGGTGCCTCCAACGGGGCTTGGTGGCAGTGAGGTTTGAAGGGGATGCCAAGATGGTAATTGACAGGCTCCATCAGGTCCAGGGGTGGGATAGCAGAGTAGGTGCCATCTTCCAGGAAGTATTACATTATTTGACGAAGCATGTGGGTTTTAGTGTTCGATTCGTAGGTCGACGTAAAGCCATTTGGTGGCTCGCAAAGCCCTCGCATTGTACCCGATAACGTGTCGTTCCTTTGATTTTGTTTCATTGCTGAGGCACATGATGTAATGATCTATTAGTTTTAATCAATACAAGATTATCTTTTGTAAAAAAAAAAAATCAAGAACAGTTGTGCAGAGTAGTTGGACATTGAGAGATGAGGACGGAAAGAGGGACATTTTTGTCTTTTCCCCTTTTGAAGAGACTTTTAAAAGTGGTATACAAAGGGTTAACGTGGAAACTAGGGGAAAATAATCAGATATCCGAATCTTAAAGAAAAAAAAAACAGATTTCTTTGAATATTATAAAACAATATAAACGAAAAATTAAAATTGATATCAAAATTTTAAATATACAAAGAAAATATAATTATGAACAAAATCACATATTACTAGCTAAACTATCCGCCAAAAATAGCATTAGTGGCATATTTGGGCGGAAAAAGGCATATCGTTCTCAAGACTTATGGCCTGGGGTGAAAAGTTATGATCTCGACCGTAACTTTTCCTCCTTGCCTGTAACTCTTAGTTGAGGCCTGGAACATTTGGGAAATTTTCCCAAATTTACGAGCTGAGTCTCGATGTTGCGGTTGTGATCGTAACCTTGAGAATGCCCCGTAACTTTTCCTTTCCGGGTCATCGACGAGTTACGTCCGAGTTAAGGACTGTAACTCGACCGATGATCCCGTAACCTCTGACTCACCCGAGTCAGACGAATTACGGCCATCACTCTTCCAATGAAGCTGTGACTTCGACTTCATCTATAAAAAGAGAATTACGCCCCGTAAACTCCTCGCCAGAAAAATCAACCAAGCCCCACTGGAACCCAGCGTCGCCGCCGCTCTTTGCCATATTTTTGCCTCTTTTCGGCCGTTCCCGAGCTTCGATTTTGGAATCACCAGGGATGTTGTGATCCCCTCCTCGAGGCGCACCTCCCGCCATCAGTCGATTCCCCGTCGCCAAGTTTTCATCCTAATCGAAAATTGCCTCCGGCGAGCCTCCGCGGGGGTTGTCGGGTGTAGCCTTCTGTCATCATTCTCATGTCCTCTCCCTCGCTCTACTCTTTTTTTTGTGTCTCCAGGTTGGTCTTTTTCCCAGATTTTGTATTTGTGGAGAATCGTTTTATAGAGTGTAGGGAGAATTGAATCGATTTTGCATGATTAGATGTTTTAGGCGGGAGAATGTTTTGCCTATGATTGTCAGGTTTGCACTGCCTTTTGTGAATTTGTTAGTTATTGGTATAGTTTAACGTTGCTGCAGAATGATGGCTCTGTGCGCATCCTTTCCCCCAATTATATTAGTACTAACAGGTTAGAGGTGTTGGTTGTTTGTTTATGCAGGGAAATGGTAAACCTGGACCACACCTTCCTGCAGGGCCTCCGCTACACCGAGGCTTATGATGGGCCGTTTGCTAGGATGTTGGATGAGAATATTGGGGGCCAACACCGCCTCAATCTGGCCTAATTCGAGCAATTCTTCTGCCGTGACGCCATTGAAGCGGCAGTCCGCCACCCGCAATGGCGACGCCTGCTGGAGCTCCAGGAAGACATCTTTGAGGAGCCCACTATCGAGTTCTGCAACACCTTGTGCCACACAAGGAAGTGGTAGGCTTCTGATACTAACGTCGTTACCTTTCGGCTCGGAGGTCAGCACCACAATCTAACCTATGATGAGTTTGCCATAGCCCTAGGCCTGGACCCTGACGACATGTTCCGGGTGGAGCCCACCATCCCGCATGTGGATTTCCATGCCCTTTACCAGCAAATCTGTTTGCAGCAGCACGCCGAAATTCCCTATGCACACTGCGAGACCCGGGCCAGTCGGATTTAGATCTCGTGGCAGTTCCTAAAGGAGTTGCTTGCTCACTCTACTATCCCCGATCAGGAGGCCTCCGGCCAGGTGACTAAAAGGCAGATGTACCCTTTGCTCACCTTGTTTGACGCTCTCGACCAAATCCGCCTTGGCTCGTTCATGGCCAACACTTTCTCTCGGGTGATGAGCCACTCGAAGGTGCTCATAGTGCACGAGGCCGCTACATTACTCGGATTGCCAGATACTTCGGAGTGCAGCTTGTTGGATCGACGAGCGCGAGGCGATTCTCCACGAAGTGTGATTAGTTGCCTTGATCCCTCACAATTTCGACACCTGCAAAACCTTCGCCTTTCTACTACTAAGAACAAGTGAAAACTGCAATACTAGGGATTTGATTGAGCAAAAGAGAATTTTTTTTATTCTTTGTGTCTGGCAAGTATTGGTTAAAAGAACCAGGCCTAAAGCCCAAGCATATACAGATTATATTTGAGCGCAAACTTAAATTTTACCCAATCACTTTGTAATCCACTGCGTTTTAGTGACCACTCAGCAGACCTTCTTCTTCCTCGAGATCTGCAGCTAGCTCTGTTTTCCGCACACTTTAGATACCCTAAAAAGAGCAACATAATAGATAATAACAGGTAAATAAATAGATGATGACATACGATATTTTTATGTGGTATCCGGTTGGCAATGTGCAATATCGACTAATCCACGGTCGAAGGTCCTCAATTGAGTCCTTCGACGTTTGACTACGAACTTGTGTTTAAATCACATTTACACTTAATCTCTTTGCAACTACCTGCTGCCAATCAGAACTCTCACAAGGTTTACTCCCCGCAAACCTCTTTAGAACACCACACTTCTCCCAGCAATTTCCCCAATCGCTACTAACTTTTCTTTTATCTCCTTTCACGACAACATAACTCTCTTTCTCAATTTTCTAAACAGAGCGCTCGAAAAGTGATCTGCTATACCCATGAGATTGTATTTTATGCACTCAATCCTGCCGACCGTTGTTCATTGATCTTCTCTTGATTTGCCTGATTTTTCTTCTTGATTGCAGCAATCTTTCATTCTCTGAAGTATTTGAACTGTTGCTGTAAATTCTTTCCTTCTTTTGATGTTGTCCTTGTCTGTGATATGAGTCATTGACGAGCTTCATTCAACATGCTCCCCCCCCTAAGCTTGTCAATGGCTCTTGTGGTTGCATTAGTTATCCTGCACACACTCAACAAACAACCAGTGCAGTCTGCTCCAACAACAAGGTAACATTCAAAGTGAAAACTGGAAGGCTCTTATTTTTATTTCATCCAAACAATAGCAAGACACATCATACTGAAGCAAGACACAACCAACCATAAGACAGACATAACATTATGACTCAACCTAACCAAAACTAACCGATTCAACAAATGCTCCCCCTAAACCTACTACTGCTCATCCTATGCTCAAAACGGATACTTAGGAGGGGGTTCGTAATCAGAGATAACATCCTCAAAGCCAGAATCACAAGACATGGGATCAAACTCGTCTGGAGCAGGTTCTGCCTCATCCTCGAGGACTCCTTGACATGGATCTAGAAGTTCCGGATGTTCCTTACAAAGCAGCAGTCGCAGCGGAACTTTGCTTAGGAAGTCTTGTCCGGACCCATCAGTTATAATTCGCAGAACTTCAGCATCGATAGCAGATTCCGCAACCTTAACTAGTGCTGGAACTAGTTCATGTGGCACTTTAGAACCAGAAACCAGTTCATGTGTCATTTCATGACCACGAAGAAGTGAGCAGCCAACTCCTCCCCTGAGCCAGAGACGAGCTTACAGCGACCAACGTCAGCATCCAGGCATTTGAGTATATGATTTGGGCGCAGATCTTCGAGTACATTGCAAATAGTTAACTTGTCACGCAGATCAAAATGCAATCGATACAGAAGATGAGTGATGAGGGGTCCAAAGAGTAGATTTCCACTGTAATTACCATCGCCAAAGCGGAGCATGTGCCTAAAAACTAAGGAGGCGAATCTGATGGGTGGACTAGCTCGAGCATGAGACATGATCCAGAGATCGGTAGGGTGAAGGACATCTGAACTACGCAAATCACGAGGAAGCCATCAACGAGTGATGACCAGTGAAACACCTTAAGATCATCCGGCAAGCGACCAGCATCCAGGTGATGAGGAAAGTACCGTCCGGTATCAACAGTAAGCTAAGACAACGGAGCAAAGAAATCAAATGCTAGGTCGTGAAACTCCCCATCAAAGGCAGCTTGATGTCTAGAATGAGGCAACAAGAGGACTGATGCAAGCAGATCAGGGGTCACTTTGATCTTGTGGTTATAAACCACAGTAGTAAAACATGAAGACTCTGGTCCTGGCCCCCGCTTTATGCTCACGTAGAACATCCTGACCGCTTCAGGCCAGAAACTGAAACGCTGGTCATCAACCAAGGAACTCCATCCAAGTCCAGTAAGTAGGGAAGAAAGGTTCATCCCATTCTTGTTGAAGGTTAAGGGCTAGATGGTGAAGGAAAGGTGAATGGGGCGATCACGAAAGCTACGCAGATACCTAGCATATTCGCGACCAGTCTGAAAGCCTTGGTTATTGAATCAACCGCAGGATGCATTGAGGGTTAGTGATCACCATGACGCGAGGAAGAGGAGAAGAGAATGTAAGGGAAATGAGTGGAGATTTATAGCAGCGTGAGAGAAAGGGACGAATGAGCTTCCCTTTATGAAGGTGAACACTGATAAAAAAAGGAACAAAATTCCTATTTAACTGCAATTAAGCTTGAAGATTAAGGAATGAAGGAGTAAAGGCGTCAGTATCTAATCAAAAGCAGAATTAGAAACTGGAGATTTCTTCGAGATTGAACAACCCTAATTCTCTCCGTATAGGAAGGAATTTTTCACTGCCTAGCGGTTTAGTAAAAATATCGGCCCATTGCATATTGGTCCCTAGAAACTCCAGCTGGACTTTCCCTTCCTGAACTAGATCCCTGATAAAATGATAACGAATCTCGATGAGCTTAGTATGCGACTGCTGAATGGGGTTTTTTGACATATTGATGGCACTCGTGTTATCGCACAGAACAGGCAGAGAGTTAAGATGAAGACCATAGTCTAAGAGTTGAGATTTTAGCCACAAGACTTGAGAACAATAGAGACCAAATGCTACATATTCTGCCTCGGCAGTAGATAGCGCTACTGAGTTCTGTTTCTTACTGGACCAATAGACCAGAGAGGTTCCCAGAAAATGGCACGTCCCAGACGTACTTTTATGATCAACTATACATCCTGCAAAGTCAGCATCGCTATAACCAATTAACTCTAGACTAGAGTCCCTAGAATACCACAGACCCAAAGACTCTGTCCCTGCAAGATATCTAAAGATTCTTTTTACGGCGTACAGGTGGCTATCTCTAGGAGAGCTCTGAAACCTAGCACACAGACACACACACTATATAGAATATCCGGGCGACTAGTAGTTAGATACATCAAGGACACTATCATGACATGATACATTCGATCATTTATTTTAATTCCAGACTCATCCTTAGTTAGTTTGACTGTAGACCCCATAGGAGTACCTGCAGTTTTTAGATTACCAAGATCAAACCACTTCAGCATATTGATTAAGTACTTGGTCTGGCTAATAAAAATTACTATTGACATTTTTTTTACTTGCAGCCCTAAGAAGTAACTAAGTTCCCCCATCAGGCTCATTTCGAAAGTGTTTTTCATTGACTTTTCGAAAGCTTTACATAGCTCGGCACTAGATGACCCAAAAATAATGTCATAAGCGTATACCTGAACTAGAATAGTGTGATCACCTACTGTTTTAATGAACAAGGTCTTGTCCACAGACCCTCTGTGAAACCCATCATCAATTAAAAAGTAGCTAAGTTTATCATACCAGGCTCTAGGAGCCTGCTTAAGACCATATAGCGTTTTGTTCAGTTTATACACATGATCCGGAAACTGGTGATTTTCGAAACTAGGGGGCTGAGTGACGTATACATCCTTTTTTAAATCTCTATTTAGAAAAGAACTTTTCACATCCATTTGAAAAAGTTTAAAGCCCTTAGAAGAAGCATATACACAAAGCAAACTTACTGCTTCCAACCTTGCTACAGGAGCGAAAGTTTCGTCGAAATCTATACCTTCCTCTTGACAGCAACCTTGAACCACTAGCCTGGATTTATTTCGAGTTATATTTCCAACCTCATCTGACTTATTTTTATATATCCATTTAGTGCCTAAAGGAGTTCTTGTCCACTGGTCTGGGGACTAAGTCCCAAACTTTGATTCTCTTGAACTTACCTTACTCATCTTGCATGGACGCATTCCAAAATTCGTCTAGCAAAGCTTCATCAAAATTTTTAGGAACGAATAAGGACACAAAAGAAGTATGAACAGAAGCAACTTGAGATCTAGAGATCATACCATGACTCAGGTTCCCTATCACTTGCGAAATAGGATGTCGTTTTTGTATATGTGGTAGAGCTTGTTCTTCTTTATTTGTATCACCTGCATCAGCTGCTGTCTTACTGTTTTCCACACACTTTGTCTCTGTCTTATGTTGAGCTATAGGAGTTGAGCTACTAAGTCCCAGATCATCTTCGTCATCAACAGTAGCTGTACTTACACTCATAGATTCATCAAATACCACATTAATGGACTCCTCAACTTTGAGGGTCTGACGGTTAAATATCCTATGTGCTCTACTCTGAGTTGAGTTGAGTAACCAAGGAATAATGATTCATCTGATTTAGAATCAGTCTTTCCAAGATTATCTTTCGTATTTAGAGCAAAACACTTGCATCCAAATGGATGAAAGTAACCTAAGTTAGGTTTTCTTCCTTTCCAAAGTTCATAGGGAGTTTTGTTTAGTTTAGATCTGATCACAACTCTGTTTACTACATAACAATCCGTGTTAATTGCCTCTGCCCAGAACTGTTTAGGCACACCATAGTCATTTAACATAGTCCCGGCGATGTCTATCAGTGTCCTATTTTTCCTTTCCACTACTCCATTTTGCTGGGGAGTCCTAGGTGCAGAAAAGTTATGTGAAATACCCGAATCATCACAAGAGATTTCAAAGTCTTCATACACAAATTCACCCCCATGATCAATCCTAATACTAACTACCCTATTCTATTTTTCATTTTCCAACCGCTTAATTAGTGTTTTAAAGTTATGAAAAGCATCACTTTTATTAGTGAGAAAAGTACCCAAGTATACCTTGAGTAGTCATTTACAATTACAAATGGATAAAATTTGCCACCTAGACTCTTAACATTACTCGGGCCAAACAAGTCTAAGTGAAGCAACTCTAATGGTCTAGAAATTGATATGACTTGATTACTTTTGAATGTTGATCTAACCTGCTTCCCTTTTGCACAAGCTTCACAAAAAAATCCTTTTTACTGTTGATTTGAGGGATTCCTGTTACTAAGTCTAAACTAACTAATTTAGACAACGTGCCCACTCCTACATGACCTAGTCTTCTGTGACACTCTAGCTGATCATTCTTGTCAACGGATACTAGGAAAGTTTCATTAAACTAACTTTTGTCATTCAAATATATACAAAACAGTTTTCCCATTCCTTTTTCGAGTAAACAATATTTTCTTGTTCTGAATTTTTTCAACAAAACAATGATCAGGCTCAAAAACTACTCGCTTAGACTCACCACAAATTTGACTAATTGAAAAAGGTTATGTTTTAATCCTGCAACCAACATGACGTTTTTAATAGATGGATTTGTACCTACTTAACCTTTACCCAGAATATCAGTGCTATAATTATCACCAAAATATACTTTACCCTTATGACTTTTGTGAAAATTCGTGAATAGTTTCTCGTTACCAATCATGTGATGTGAGCATCCACTATCTAGTATCCATTCACTGTCCTCCATGCCCACTTTGAGACAAACCTGGTCACAGGGGTAGTTATTTTAGTTTAGGTCTCCAAACTAACTTGGACACACCTGAGTTTAATTTCATACGATCACAATTCCATTTTATATGTCCTTCTTTATGACACACAAAACACGTTAGAGTTTTTAATCTCTCTTCCTTGGCTATTATTCTTTTATAGTTTGCTATGTCGTGTCCCTCTTGATGACAATAGAAGCATTCCACAGTCTTTATCTTAATGGTTTGATACGTTTTATTATGACTTTCCTTTTGACATATGTTATCATTGTGTGAGCAACTAACTAACTTACTTGCTTCTGCTATCTTTGTTTCTAAGACTTCGTTTAGTTTCAAACATTCTTCTAGCTTTAAGTCTACACACTGTTTTTCCTTTAGCAGTTTATGATATTCTTCTTTAAATTCAGTATGTTCTTTCTTCAACTTGATATGCCTATTTTTAACATTTCCAAATTCAAACTGTATTTCCCTGATCGTTTCTATCATCTGATCATCCTCAATATAGTAATCAGTATAGTAATTGTTTGGGGTTATCTGTGCAATGTCTCTTTCATCCTCACTCTTGTCTATTGCCATGAAAGCCTCATGTCTGCAGTTTGCATCCGTATCATCCTCTTCTTCGTTACTGCAACTCCAGGTAGCTGTGTATGCTCGTTCCTTCTTTATTTGTGGACACTCTGCCTTGATGTGGCCAGTTCTTCCACACTTGAAACATCTTGCCTACGTAGCTGCCTTTTCCGTAAAGCTTCTTCTTGTAGATGGCCTGAAGGGTTTTCCCTGTTCCTTTTCAGCTTCTGCATCTCTTGGCTTGCTGATTGATCCTCCTATTCTTCTCTCCTTTGTAGCCTTAGTAACTTGGCAACATGCTTGCTAAGCATTGCTAGTTCATCATCTTCTAAATCCTCAAAATTATCCAATTCTTCATCTCATGACACAGCCCTGAATGCTATGCCTTTCTTTTCTTTTTTGGGTTCTTCCCCTTTTTCTTTCTTGAGCTTATCCTCGTGAGTAATTAAGGATCCCATTAACTCGTCCAAGCTCAACTTCGTCAAATCCTTGGTTTCTTCAATAGCAGTGACGTTGAGAGTCCATTGCTTAGGAAGTTCCCACAAAACCTTTCAGACTAAGTAAGCACTTTTATACACAACATCCAGATTCCTTAGGTTGTTTACTATGGTATGAAACCTATCATTCATCTCTTTTATGGACCCTTTAGGCTTCCTGGCAAATGACTCAAACTCCTGCTTGAGTTTGTTGATTCTAGAGATTTTGACATGTGAAGTACCTTCATGCGCAATTTGCAACATGTCCCATATCTCCTTTGCTGATTTGCAACCTGTGACCCGATGGTACTCTTCAGGACCCAGCGCACAGTACATCAGGTTAGTTGCTTTTGAATTTAACGAGAAATTCTTCTTGTCTTGCTCAGTCCACTTCCCTCTTGCTTCCTTAACCTCAAACGGACCATCGAGCACAATATTCCATAGATCCGGATCTGTGGAACCTATGAAAAATTCCATTATGTTCCTCCAGTACTCGTAGTGGACTCCT